AGAAGATAACCACGGTTTTAAGGTCCATCACACATCGTTTCATAATACAGGCTATTGCCAGAGCGTTCTAAATAAAGCATCGGTTAGTGCAGAACTTTACAGAGTCGAATTGGGCAAGGTATGAAGCTTTCGATGTCGGCTTATCCCTTTTCAAGGATGCGCCATGCATTTCACCTTCATCTAGCATCGTGCTGGCATTTAAGGCGATATAGTTTATGCAAAGCGAGTCATCATATTTGGTCTCCCCAACAATGTTAAAGAAACCCTATTATTATTCAGCCCAAGAAGAGCTAGATGGTTCGTTTCTCCTCTACTCATGGTGGACTCACCACTACATTTCGAGAGCCTCTTGAAGACTGATGCCAACTAACCGATCCCACAAGGAAAAACGGCTTGGTAGGCTTGATCGAGGATTGAATCCATGAACCTAATCCGGGACCTAGCGGCGTAATAAGCGGCGCCACTTGCCCTACACCATATCAACCCTTGAGCGGAGTTACTGCAACTCCCTACTATAATCGCTGCTCACAGTAGTAGTAATGAAAGGATGCCACTGCTTAGAACATCTGCTACGGCAGATTCTTGGAGAAGTCTCGAAGCATCTAACTAGGAAGGGACTGGTTTTCGAACCTGGTCTGTTCCTGGAACGGCTTGCTGCAATTTGTGGAGATACACTGAGGGACCATAAAAGTGCAGCTCATTCCCTCTGCGCGTTGTTCGGGAGGCCAAAAAATTATGAACAGGAGGTCGATCGTTCGGATTCCTTAGACGACAAAAAAGGTGCACTCCTGCAGTTGTTATTTTTTTCCGTGGTTCTCATAGATGGGAACCTTTTGGCCGAAAAAAACGAGTCTGAAAGCCCTAGAACCTTCTGTCAAAAAACCAAAAGAATTTTCTCTGGCGGCAGTTTTAGATTTTTTCTTTCGCCCTTCTTGGCATTTCCAGAAGCGCGCAGCGGAAATGAAGTATGCTGTCGTGGTCACCACATGAGCCTCTACTACATGCAACAGTCCGAAAGGTCTCGATAACAGGCCCCTCGAGCTAGAAGACTCCCTTGCAAAAACAAGGTTGGAAATTGAACTTTTTCAGGGACCTCACCCATAGGCAAATCACCTTCCCCCACCCCGACTAGCATGAAGATGCGATGAATCCCTTCAAACAGCTGTGCACTAGCACGATGGGCGATCTGTAGACTGAAATAAGGCTACTGTGCACCCGAGAAGCAAAGACTTAGGAAAATTAAGGAATCAGACTCGACGGAAACACCGGAAAACCCATTCCAACACAGCACCATCTGTAAAGCTCACTGGTTTTTTTAGGAATTTCCCTAGTTCCCCAGGCACACGGAGCTCCACTTTATCGAAGAGCAGACTAAATCCTTTGAGCGGATTAACTCTCTCCCGCTACCTGGAATTAACTCTTGGAGAGCTCCTATTAATAGCACCACCAGGTGATAATCTATTCGACTACCTATCACATACGATAATTATAGCAACTCTTAGAGCAAGTATCTTGCAAAAAAAACTGACCAGTAGCATGAAGAAATAGAACACGGACTCCCATCCAAGTGAATTCTGCATGATGGGAACGACCAATTGGCCGAGGGCACTTCCAGCAGAGCCCGTACCGTCCAACAAACCAGAGACTGTTGACATCGCCTGAAAAGACTCTGTTTGGGAAAGCTTCAACGTAAAAGATTGGCGGTATTTTCCGCGACGACCGCATGGACGGAAATCGTCGAACACTTTTTTTCGTCATTGGTGCGTGCTCCCTCTCAACGCTGTAAGAAGGAGAAACGGGCTAATGAGGAAGGCAATGGTTAGCTGTCTCCGCCCATACGATCAGGATGAACCACGCCTATAGTTGGTTTCGTAGAGATTTCATCATACATTCAGCACCTGTGCATTTGATGCAAGTGCCGGTTGTGATCCCAAATCTATGGATATTGTACCGACAATCAAATTGTACGGACCAGATACCGTAACACCGACAATCGTCATGAAAAACGCGTTCCATATCTCGTGAGCGCCTGAAATTCAGACTGACATATTAAAAGTACCTCCATAGTAACAATTCATACTGCAGGTAGTTACCTATGTGAGCATACACAAACAGTGATCCAATAGAGCAAATCAACATGGCAACAATCATTGGCGCCCTGCATCCCATTTTATCCTAAAAAGATGTCGTTGGTAGTGCACTATTTCGACGAGAAGGCGCAGATAAACAAAAATCTTGCGCGGCCTAGATGACACCCGCGCTCTGAGTTCTACAGTGACGACTTGCACTTGATCCCTGAACGCACTGATTTTCTGTATTTCTTTGCACTTTCTCGTCTGTATGGCACCCTATGGTCGCTGTACCCTCACACATCTTGGTTCCTCACATATGAAAAGTGGCTAACTTATCTCGGAGTCCCCTTCCCATAAAAGCCTAGCCCCTGGCTTGCCAAGTATTTTTCCCACAATCCGATGCTCGGCAGCTGCTGTCCCTTATTAGTCTGCCTTACAGGGTTTCGCCACAAGACCGTAATCAGAAGTCCAAATTGTAACGCGATAACGCGAGCGGTGGTAGAGCGCGAGGGGTCGAACTGATGATGAACGAACGACGGCAGAGGAGCTCTACTGCTGATCGCGTATCCACGAAACTGCAGAATCTGATCAGGCGCTAGCGCAGTTCCAGCAGGGGGGAGGGGGAACAGCTGGTATGTAGACTCCTTCCCTGCCACGTTCTGCGGAGACCCGACGGCGACGCTGGTCGTCAGCGCTAGGCTGAGCCAAAGCTCATTGTAAAATAAACGAATAAAGGGGAACAAAATAGAGATTCTACTGCTGTATCGTTACCCTCGAAATGGCCCGGTGCCGAATGTTATGGTGAGGACACCGTGAAGCTCGAGGGATTGGAAGGAGAGGGGACTCAAGACTCTCAACTTCGAGGATTAAGACGGTTTGCTTCACTAGCGAAATATATAACCCCCAACCTCAATTCTTAGGAGCTAGCCGGAGCAAGAAAGGCACGCAGGGAGACCTAGCTGCGATCGCCTTGGCGGCCTCTGCTTCCAAAGGCTGAACTTGTTGGCGGGGTGGAAGCGGTCACGAAGTCGGTGGAAAGCCAAGCAATCACGCCGCTGAATGCCGCCTACCCCCTCGCCCCCACAATCGCCACTCTCATCCATGGCTGTCATTATTTTTTTCGCGCCATTTTGCATAAACGAAACTTTCCCTCTTCTCACCGATATGTAACCTCCAACAATGCTTCCAATAATTCCTCCTATATCGTACCATATGCTCAACTGATCAGCCTGAAATATCTTTAGTCCGTTTCATGGAAGAAATCTTCTACTGATAAATGCCAGTCGAACATGTGAGTATTTATACCATTTTCACTTTAAATTCGCCCTTTTTCAAACCAAATTCGTCCTTTTTCAAACCAAATTCGTCCTTTTTCAAACCAAATTCGTCCTTTTTCAAACCAAATTCGTCCCTTTTCAAACCAAATTCACCCTCACTTCAATCAAAGAACCACAACTTTATACGGCGGCAACTCCATCAACACAGATCACGCCGGACATCACTGCGAGCGATCCTGTCCGCTACGCCACCGCCCACTTGTCAGCGCGGACATAGATTCTCAAATCTTGTTTCATAACTTCTGCTTTTGCTGTTTCCCACAAACCCTTTGACTGGAAACCACCGTGCATTCACACATGGCCGACTCCGCCCATTCTCTAAAGGGTTTGGCACTCTAGGCTGACCACGCCCACTGGCTTTTCGCGGAATTTCGATGTTTTTTCAAAATTTTTGCAATTTAGGGTTGCTGCGTGAAGCCCCGCCCTTTGTGAGATGCTCCGCCCACTTTGAATAAGCCCCGCCCACTTTAAAAATGGTGCAGATCGGCAGTATAGAGACTTGGCTTGCATGTTAGGGTATTGCTGATCATTCGGAATAAACTTTGCCGGATTTTCTTGTTCCGAGTGACGTACGAGACCCTAACATGCAAGCCAAGTCTCTATACTGCCGATCTGCACCATTTTTGAAAAGTGGGCGGGGCTTATTCAAAGTGGGCGGAGCATCTCACAAAGGGCGGGCTTCACGCAGCAACCCTAAAATGCAAAAATTTTGAAAAAACATCGAAATTCCGCGAAAAGCCAGTGGGCGTGGTCAGCCTAGAGTGCCAAACCCTTTAGAGAATGGGCGGAGTCGGCCATGTGTGAATGCACGGTGGTTTCCAGTCAAAGTGTTTGTGGGAAACAGCAAAAGCAGAAGTTATGAAACAAGATTTGAGAATCTATGTCCGCGCTGACAAGTGGGCGTGGCCGTCGGGCGGGGCTCGCAGTGATGTCTGGCGTGATCTGGTTGATGAGTTGCCCGCCCTAATAAGTGTGGTTCTTGATGAAGAGTGAGGGTGAATTTGGTTTGAAAAAGGACGAATTTGGTTTGAAAAAGGGCGAATTTAAAGTGAAAATGGTATAAAATACTGTTTTATTCAAGGTGAAGACTCTCCGCCCATAAAAACTCCGGTACGGCGTTCGTACAAAGATCCTTAAAAGCAGAACCCGCGATTATTCGCCATCTCAAATAGTGGGTTAGTGCGTTCCATACAAACGACAAGGGGTTGAGTAACTCGACAGTGAAGAAAAAAAAGCACAAAAAACATGCCACCTGCCCTAGATAGAACCCCATTTTGATCCCAGTTTGTACGTGCCCAGTTAACTCTATCTCCCAACTCTGGACGCCCTCATACGCACAGCTGTTTTACCGATAAGAACTCTACGATCGTACAAAGACGATTTTCATGCTTTTTTCGTCCTGCACTCTCGTTTTTCATAAAAAGGTGGGTGTTGGAGGCGGGGTCTGGAGGCGGAGTCACTGGAAAAAAAGGAGGAGAACCACTGAGCCTATATTGCGCTACAGCACCCCCTCCCATAGAATTTTTTGCCGCGAAACCGGTACAAGGTTGTTCGTCGCGGACCACTCTAATTTCCTGATGCCATACTTTCAGCTTCGATACCTGATCGCGGACCGTGCTTTTAAGAATCAGAGACTTACCTTAGTCTCTTCCCAGTGATAAGCTTCTGTCAGGTACAACGGCAACCAGAAGAAAAAGGCATAGTTGACAAGTTTCAGACATGCATTACACAAGCAGTACTGCAACAAAAAGTCCGATTAGTTCAAGTTACAGACCATGCTTATGAGCGGAGACCATCAACCGTTTGTACCATTGTCATTGGTGTTTCAAGGAAGGGAGGAGATGTGGGTCAATGTGGAAGGCACAGTGGTCTCTGTCTCCGCCCACATGTTGTGTGTGGACTTTCCTCCAAAGTTGTTTCAACGATGGACCAGGCTTATCAAATGTCGTGGGCAAGCCTAACAGAACTCTTGTAAAAAAGGCAGCAAGAGAAAGTATGCTTCAAATGCGCAAACAGCCTCCTTTTTATCTTCTTCAAATTATGACTTATGAAAGATTGTGGGGAAACTTGCAAGTGGACATTCGGAGGGGACATCTCATGACAAGACCAAATCACCTCCGACAGCCTGTTCCTGACGCTTCATCCAGCAGGAGTGAGGTCATCTTGAGCAGGAGAAGCCGTGAGTTCGACGCCTGACTGATCCCTTTCTAGGATGTTACCAAAGTGGTGGTCATTGGACACATCACCTCACTACATCATCTACCTATTTGCTTTCTTCGTCCCTTCCCAATCACGGCTGATCCTCAGGGGAAGAGGAAAAACACTGTTTCATCCGACTGAGAGACACAAAGTTCATTACCTTGCAGTTACCATGTGTATGTACTGATTCCCTTCTGCTGTCTTAGTCACCCACTGAGACCGAACCTCCAGGACGCCAGACTAAGTGCACCCCTGGATGAAATCCGGCGAGATGATCGGATTCCCCAGAGCGTTACAGGCACAAAATGAGGCGCTTTTACAGGAGCGGTCCCAAAAACCCGCTCAAGAAAAAGGTAGATAGGCTTGCGTAATGAATATGCTCAATCTCCACCACTAATTCCAACACTGAACCAGGACGTCCCAAGGGTCTTAGAAACTTCACCGTTAGGTTGAGAATCGCCCCATTTCATCTTCTCTAAGTGCGGGGGAGGGTGATGTTGCATGTGCGACTTCTGCGTCGTGTAGCCTGCGGTTGTGTGGAGGTCAGTGTAGTAAAAGATAGCTCGAGGATGGATTGGTCAGGTCACAGATTCCAAGTTCTCACAAATGATGTAGGGTTCACGCCCGTTGCTCCCCTTCTCAAAAATGGTTCGCTACTGCAGTGCTAAAGCAAAACCGCAGGCTGGCATCACTGAAGCATATACCGCCTTCAAGCATAATAACTCGGCCTGTGGGTCTAAAAAAGTCAAATGGGAAAGCTATACCAACCGCTAGTACGCCAGGAAGAAGCACAGCATCAAGAAGGCTGATCGGCTCCCCTTCGTCCGCATGTGACCTGAAAGGGGAAGTTTCCTGGGTTTGGTTACAAAAGACGATAAAAACTGATAGTGGTAAGTATTGGGTCAACTGTACAGTTATGCCAAATAAATAAATGAATGCCATCTACTTAGAGAGAACGGAAAGCGCGTTACCTCTCCACTTGTTCTTCATCGTTCAGGTGAGAGTATTGGGCTTCCTTAGGTTTTGGATCAATCGACACCATCACAGTAAAGGCTCCAATCAGCAACAGAAGGCCATTTGAGAAGAAAGTATTCTGAAAACCTATTTTTTTACACTTTATAGAAGACAACAATCGCAACTGTGCCCATCTCATAAAAGCAGCCTTCGAAAACTGAACATCCTTATAGCGAACAGATTAATTAAGGAAAGCCCGAAACCTCATATCCAGAAGGTAGAACCCATGAAGTGAAAAACGATCCAAAGACGTTGCCAAGCGGTTGACATGACGCCCACACGCCCATCACAAAGCCACGATTCGCTTTGCCAAACCAGTTTGCCTGTAAACAATCCAAAAATAGGCTGAATAGTAAAAACTACGGCAATTAGTGAGTTTTGGTAAAAGCACGGATGGACTACTGCCTCAGCTGGGTGACCGTTGGACTGGGGCAGTTATCGGGACCCCACGGGCTCCATAGAATACCAAGACGGGACAGACACATGCTTACACTTCTCCATTGAGACTTAACAGATCGAAAATGAACCGCTCCGTGTCTCTCGAGCAAGCATAACTTTGGCTCCCAAGAGGTACGAACGGAGGCGGTGCTAACGCATACATGACAAAATCTGTGACCCATTGGAGGATAGATGGTACAGGTGACATTGCGGATTTCAAAAAGATGTGACTGAAGAGTGATAGTATAAGTCGAAATGGCAATAATTCACAGCGAGGGGAGTGGGTCGTATTTGCCTACGGGATAAATGAAAACATCGCTTGTTTACTTTTCTCGGTTTTTCCTGTTTCGAACGCTCAAAATACCCCAGCTCTACAACAGTTTTGAGCGGAGGGGGGGGGGGGTAAAAGCTGGAGAATTTGCGAGGACTGCGAGGAAAAGTAGGGAGATAGTAGACAGAATGGGGAGGGGGTGTACCATAAGCCTGCCATAATTTCTGAGGGCGGTCGCATACTGCAGGAATTTTCCCCAAGGGCAGGACGTGGTCCCCCAACCTCCAGCCCCAATATGCATTCCTTTTCCAAGTAATGAGGAATTGCATTCCTTTCCGCACATGATGTGTTTTTCTTTTCGTCATATGCGTGGCCGTCGAGTGGCTTTATTAACAAACTAATCCCCTTGAGCGTAGGCCGCGGAAAGCCTCGCGAGTGCACCAGTATAATTGAATATTGGTTCTTTTATTCTCCAAATCAAAAAACTTACCATTATTGCAATTTCACTCGGCCAGCCACAGGCTTGCATTAAACCAAATAATAGGTATGTGATAACGTAATAAGCAGCGTTGTAGAATTCAAACCATTTTGGAAAAGAGCCAAAAAGTGTGAGCTGAACAAAAATAGGGTATTTTGAGGAAATAGGAAGCACAGCATTACGCTGCATTCACACTTTGCGACTCAAAAGATTCAGTAGTGGGAAACTCGGCGATTCGAGAGACCGGGTGCCGGACCGCCAAATCTCCGCCATCGCTAGCGATTGGCTCTGATCGATACTCATCCACTCCTCTGGCGCGCAATCGCCCAAAACGCTGAGTCGCCCAAAACGCCGCAACGCCGGTTCTCCCCAGTCGCCAGATTGATACCTACACTTTTCTCGTAGCGCTGTCTCTGGAATCACCAAGCCTGGTCGAATCTTCTCGTTGCAAAGTCTGAACGCGGCGGCCTAAGCGAGAATACAAACCATCAGAGCTGATCCGACCATTCCCGTTACGATGACATGCTTCGGATTCAGGCGGTCTCCTAACCAACCCCAGAAGAATAGTCCCTGAATGCTGGCGAATTCTCCATACGGTACTTATCGGAGTCGACAAATTAGGTACAAACTTACGCTCGCATAGGCGATCATAAAAATTGCATCAAGGGAGCCCAAGAACGTCCTCGCATCGACGGCAGAGTTAAACAACGGCTGTAAATGGATATGAGTCGCTTTTTCCACGAACAATATTTGGAGCAGTTTGGCTTGGCGGGAGGGGGGGGGGGGGTAGACGTGCTGCACTTTCGCGCACTTCCATTGTCGTGTTGTGCCATTAAGTAGAGATATGTGAACTTTTATGAAAACTTAAAGTGATATAAATCTGACTTTGTTGAGACTACTCGTCACCGGTCTTGAAAGCAATGAACCACAACAATGGGACTAGTGAAAGTGCAAGGAATGCCCCTCCTCCCGAGACTGTTGGAACCGTGGCTGAAACCGAGGTCAAAGGTTGTGTACTGGCAGAATGGCCCGATACTACGATGCGGCAAATCCCGACCGACTAGGTCTCGCAGCCCTCTACCCTCCAGAACGTAATTTGGTTACAATCCGTCTGGGAGTACGAACTTAACATGGACACATCGACTGGATTTCCGGCAGTTCTTTGTAGCCAGCCATGTTCATTTCAATAAAGCTACTGCGATTCTAATGGGAGGGCAGCATGCGTGAACAGAAAGTGGCTCTCACAAAAGATTCAACTTTTGAAAGCTCCATCCTTTGCCGCTTTATCGTTGCATAACCGAGCTGTGTTCAATAACCTCGATCTCCAACCCTATTACACACTGCAGCACCCTTACCTTGCCTATGGGATATCCGTCGTGTAAGGGATAAAGTGCAGTCTTTGCACTAGTGATTGCTTCTTATTTTGGTATGTGTACGGCACGCCTTTCACTTCCATTTCGAATCTTATTGAATGCGATGTGCCCTATACAAGAACTAGCGGAAGCTAGTCTTCCTACAAGTCAGTGTTTGTGCCCACCAAATCGAATCCGATACCAATATACCGTTCCCGGAGGGTAGAAGGCCTGATTGGCCTGGGTAAGAGCCGATCGGGAATCTGACCCCTTGACCACGAGCGTGGTAAGCGTGCCATCAGCCGCTACATCACCTCCGCCCCAATACCCTCATGTGGTCGGAAAAATCTAGTAAGGAGTCATTCCTGGTGAGTATAGCAGTTGGAACGACCGCCCCTTCAAGCCACGTAATCAGGCAGTTTGATACGTCAATGGGCCTCCATAAGTGCATTTATAATGAGCTCGTGGTCGTAAGACATCACTGATAACAAAAATGTGGAAGGAATGGAGCAGAACTTCCAAAAAACGTGAAAAACTGCACTAACTGTATGAGTGGTGTTGTCTAACCAATCATTTGTGATCGAAGTTTTCACTCCACTCAGGGTTTTCCTGGACGAGTGATACAGGCCATAACTGAAAGGCAGTAGATAAATCTGCTTGTTGAACTTGAAGCTTCAAAAGAAACCTCTCAACTAGCAAAAAAAAAGAGCATTCGCAACATCATGCCTTCAATAACATGGTAGTGGAGAGGGCGTGCTGGGCGCCCTTCGTTTAAAACGGCGTAGGGATGCCTTTTCGAGAGATATTTCCACTTGAGACAACTGTCGTCCATTGTTGTGTGCAGTAAGACAAGAATTTAGTTGTCCCAAAACGCAAATATCTCACAAGGATCGCAGTTGCCACAAGGAACCACAGTTCTTAATGAAATTACATGGCGACGCCCCCGCCTACGGATATGGAATGTAACCAAGCCTAAAGTAAAAACTACCTGAGAAAAGTCACCGCAAACACCACCGCCTTCATTCCTGATAACAATGGAACACTGATTTTCCTTCTAAGCTAAACTGCATGCACTGAGCAAAGAGCAATTTTCGTGGCACCTGAGCATTGAAAGAACAAACATCCTTATCAGTTTCAGCTGCCGATAGCACTGCACAGCGTAAATGCAGGTTAAGAAGACAAGGGTCAGCAATGTCCCTTTGAATTTTTAAGAAATTCGCTCTATAGCTACATCTTTCTAGTGAAACTACACAGACAAAAAAAATGTAAGCAGCAAAAGCATAAAATCTAGTACACTACAATAGCGCTCTGAACACTCTCACGAAAAACTCAAAACTATGCTTGCAACAGAAAAAAGCAGTCCCAATACAAAAGCCGTGAGCATACTAGAATTATACAAACTCAAATGTACGGTTAAAACAAAGGAATATCAACAAATTACTGAGCTGACTTTTCTTTTGGACTCGAAGGGCTAAGAACCAAAAATTTTGATGTTGAACAGTGCGTTCATACTTCGCGATTCTAGCGAGAGATGCAGACAGATATGCATTTGCCCACGTCTTCTGCTTCTAATTGGCATCTAGAGCAACGACCGAACTCGCAGAGAGATAGTCGTCAGAGCGGTCGAGCTAGCGTTTCGCGAAAAACGCCGCGGTTTGGCGAAACGCCCGTTGATTCGTATCAAAACCCTTTGGCCCAATCGCCAGTCGATACGCATCGGAAGCTTTTCGCTGAACCGCTTCTTTCCAGAGAAGCGCTGCACCGCAGAACGTGACGATGCCTGTGGCCTTCCTCCCACCGGTAGTCGCCTTAGCCCCAGTGAATCCTGGGTAACAATACAGGAAGGAGTTTCATCAGTCCACCGCTAAACAGTTCGGAACCGTCGGTCGCAGTCAGACGACTGGTCGCTCACGCTTGGACTATGAACGCACTGTAAAGCCCTTCCCATCTTTGATTTCTATAGTGATTGAAAAGCAACAATAGTAAGTACTAAGCTCCAGAATGTGCACTGCATTCCTAGTGCCCTGTTTCTCGCGGTGTAGACCGCCCCTACGCTCTGAGCGCCACAAGTGTCACAAAAAAATTGCACTTTCCGTTTTCCTAAGTTTCCTGCTCAATTTACATGCATTTTTTTCGGAAATCGGATTCGCCATGGCCCTGTCTGCGCTTACGAGCGTCGCGGTCCATGCGGTCATACCCGAGGAAAAGGGCATTCCAAGCAGTAAGCAAAAAGCGAACAACATAAGCTCAAAAAATTTCCACACCACAGAGAATAACCATTTACTTGAAGATTCAACGAATTATCAACAATATATGATACATCTTGCGCTCTTTGAAATGCAGAACATCTCATGAAAACAAACTAGGAATAAGGAGAGATCATAGATTACATGAGAGTGAAAAGTAAAGAAAATACTGAAAAGTAACAAGTTGGCATACCGATATTGACGTAGGAAGGGACTGAGAACAAACATTGCCTCCCTCAAAGGGCGGCAGGATTCACCCAAAATCACCGAAACAACTTCCATGAGACTGATGACCGCACGAGAGCTCTATTTCAGCCTTTTGGGCCGATCAAATGTTTTCGCATTCCACACGAGGCATTTGGGATTCAACCGCCTCAATGGCGGGTTTGGTCGTTCAACACCACTTTCTTGATCCAACTTCGGATTGTGCACGATATACGTTCCTCCTGTAGAGGAAAACTTGAGAAGTGAACCAGAAACGCAAAAGAAATGATAAAAAAAAGAAAAAAAGGCGCTTCGGCTTCGAAGGGGCATTTTCATCTTCGCCAGTTCCTTTTCCTAGTACAGATACACGTTACAACCTGGAGGGATCTGTGAATTGTCATTCACAGGACCTGCCGCTACCCCTAGGCATTCACATGCTTAAGGGTAGCGGAAGTGACCGATGGGAACCAGCAAAACGCTTCTTCTGAGCGGAACTGCGACAGAAAAGAGCAATAGGAAGGAAGCAGTAATGTACCTTTGAGATGAGAAAGCAAACCAATAGGCTCCATAACGTCTTTAATATCGTCCTTGTTGATACCAACCAAAGCCTCAAGATCATCAACAGTGACATCTTCAACCTAAAAATTATATGTAGGCCCTCCCAATACAGCCGACCGGGAATGGTAATTTTACTGCACTGTCGGAACGGTGCAAATGTAGCTAAGAAAAATAATGCCACCCTGCATTACTAGGCTGCGGCGACTCTAGCTATCAGCGCTAGTAGAAGGCTGAGCTGGTGGGGGGGGGGGAAAGAAGATGCACTTTTTTTGATTGAAGCGGCAGGTAAGCTTTATCATCACACATACCTGGCTGGCCCAGCCTCTCCGTCGCTCCCCCTGTAACGTTAATGCAGCTGAAACGGAGTAGCGCTGCACTAAAAAGACGAAAGCGTCAACGTGCTTGAGGAAAGGGGGGGTGAGACCATGAGAGACCATTCCACAGCGCCTCGGCGTCTCTTCCACAGCCAGGGTCAAGACATGGAGCGCGACGGCCACAGTCGTGCAGAGACTGCCTGCTCTACAAGAGAAATCCGCGGTAACCATGATCGACTGCGCTCTAAGTCTGAGTGTCGGCTGGAGAAGAGACGCAAAGGAGCTGTGTTATGCTTCCCCCGAAAAAAAGCGGTTCCTACAGTACCTCGAGAATGACGCCAAAATGGTGAATGATGGAATCACATTTTTGTGGGCGGTAGCGAATGTACCAGGAGGGCACCGCGCGACGTCGCGCGTCGCAATCGATTCGAGGTGTTCTTCGGGCGTGAGAGCAGGTCAAGGCGCAGTAAACGGCAAGGCGGCTTGGGTTTGAACGAAGGCGAAAGAAGTAATCCTCGAATGTATCCCAGTGAACGATGCAGGCCAGAATCCACGCGTTGTCGCATGGCGACCTCTTGCTATACACCCTATCCCTTTCCCGTATTATTATCCCGCGAGCAAAAAAAATTTATCACTTGTTTCCATTTTAAACAAAAAACAAATCTGTGACAACAACTTGGACTTACCTTGCGCATGGCTGCTGAATCAAAAAATTCTAGAAGAACCCAGAGCCAGTACTTTTTATATGATATCTCGCCCAAATCAGAAAATGGGCGCTCGGGAGTTCCTGGGTACTTTGCCCTTTTCGACATTTCATAACCTTAAATTATATAACTAAGTGAACAATGTAAATTGATTCGACGGAGTTCGGCTTTGTTGGGGCACAAAACGGTATGAGCGAAGCCTGTTTAGTTCACCTCACGAAGACTGTGAAGTCTTGTAAAAAGGCTCACTCGCACAATTTTGCCGAGAGTTTACAGGTCTCACCAAAGTGTAACCTGTTGAATTGACACGAACTAGCAAAAGTGCCCAATGCAAGCCGAACAGCGTCAAAATTTCAATTATAAAAAGTAGGCTCACTCAGTTGTATCATGAAATTGCCATATCCTTTCCTCTGGTAACAAGGCAATGTCATAATACATGCTAAATTATTTGCTGAGTACATTTCCTTGGAGAACATCGCCGCTATATGTGTGCCTTCACTATCAACCTAAAGGAATCCGTTGTTGAGGCCAGAGGATAATTAGGATACTAAAGAAGACGAAAGCGAACCTCACATAACAGATAGAAAATAAAGTTCTCCACATCAAAGCATAACGTTTTGTGATCAATAAAAAGCTTGGCCAATAGACAAAGGCGTTGGCAATAGAACTGAAAAATAACACTTATAATAATACTTTTGGCACCCGTCTTCCACTCGCTACGAGGGCCAGCTCGAAGTCATCTTTTTTGGATAGGTGAAACCTTCAGAGGGATGGAATGAAGCAAGAGGCACAGCAAAAGCGAAACATGACACGACAAAATGGTGAGTCACCGGCGCGAAGGGGTGACCCACCAACAGCCATTGAATGC